CAATTAACGTATGATCTGATTAGCCGACTAATTGGAAAAATAATCGGTGATTAATAGATTATTAAAATAATCGTTTGTGGCAGCCCTATTGTTATGATCGTACTCATTTTTGACTCGTCTTATCTCCTGGCATGTTATTAGATAAAGTTATCGGTTCTTAAAATAAGTTATCGTGCATCCCTAGGTTAGCTGAGGTTTAGTAGAGTCGTTATAATGTATCGTTCCTCAACGATGCAATCCTTTCTGCCGAACAGCAGAACGGTCTCACTGTCGCAGGTGTGAACAGGTGAGCTCAGCTGGTTTTGTCACATCATCACTTCCTGCTTCGCAGCTACATTCTTGGCAGAGGTTTGTCCAGTTTCTCCAGTCGATCCACTGATCCCCTCTTCCTTCCTCTGAGGCTTTAAATCCCAAACAGGCCACATCCGTCCTGAACTCTCCTCCTCTGTGTGTGCGWATGTTTGTGTGCGCATGTTTGTGTGCGTTTGTGTGTGTGTGTGTGTTTGTGTGGAACTGGACCCCCCTTTTTCCTGCACATACAGGATTTGTTGCCCTCRAACCTTAAAGCTACAAACTCATGAAGATCAGACAAAAGGAATCTGCACTTYCCTGATATAAACGTGTCTTTGGGTTTAGACAAACCCTGTGAGCAGCTGCCGACTGTCGTGTTTATCTGCGAAAACAGCCTCAACTAGAGAAATCACATTTCCTACGAAAATGTTGTTGTGAATCCTTCATGCTGAAAACTTCAGCTGAGAGCTGCTGAAACTGAAAATGTTTAATAGGAAAAGCTTAAAGAAGCAAAAAAGCCTAACTTTGCAGCAAAACTGTAAAAAGAAACACAAATCTAGTTGAAAACAGAAAACAGCTAAAAGCTAAGAGCTAAAATAGCTGAAAACATCTGTAAAAAGCATAAATAACACTTGGTAGCAGTTTAAAAAAGTACTAAAAGCAGAAGAATAGCTAAATTAGCACAATGTAGCACAAATTACCAAATTTCCCTCTGGGATCAATAAAGTATTTTTGAATTTGAATTTAACTGAATGTAGCTAAAATGAGCATAAAATAAGCTAAAGGTAGCAGCCACAATTTGAAATTAGCACCCAGTTGAAATATAGTTGGAAAAATAGCTAAAACTGAAAAAATAATCATAAAATTACATAAGTGATCATTTGTTGTAAAATAACGAAAACAGCTGAAATTTTCATTAAAACAGCTAAAAAAGTAGCTGGAAGTTATTTTATTAACGTAAGGAAACATAAGGAGCACAAGTTTGCTGAACTTAGCTGAAAAAAGTTGTAATAGCTACAAAAAAATGTGTATTTAGCTTAGAAAAGCTAACCTTAGCTAATAGCAGCTAAACATTAGCTAAAATTTCAGCAAATAGTTGAATATAGCAGGAAGCATAGCAGAAAAAAGCACAAACGTAGAAAAAANTCCTCACTGTTCTGAAAATTGTCAGAATTTTGATATCTGTTCCTCACAATTTTAAGATTAAAGTGAGAATTTTGATTTCCTTTCCTCATAATTCGAAGATTCAAGTCAGAATTTTGATTTCTTTTTCTCATAATCAAGAGTTTTGAAATCTAAGTAAGAAATAATGAGATTAACGTTAAAATTCTTAGAACAAAAACTCATAATTCTGAAATTAAAGTTGGTGCTGGTAGTACCTGAGCATTATCTATAACAGATCTCGTAAGATCACAGAATATCCTTCACAATGTTTGACCAAAACAACTAAAACAGAAGTTTCCCATCATAAAATAATCTTAGTTTTAAACAAACGGTGGTGGACAAACATGCATTCTTCACCAGCTTCTCAGTCTGGTGAAGTTTTCACTTTCAAACCATGAAACAGATTTTAAAAGAGTTTCCTCCAAATACTATTAATCATCCTGTGAAGTTTGAACATGAGACGAGAACCTTCCCAGGTGTTTCCTTCACAGTGGAGCCATTAATCGTGACGTGCTTCAAACATCACAGCTGAAGGGCCAGATGTTGTCATCCAGCAGACGCCAGCTGTGTGTGACTGACTGACTGAAACGACAACATTTGGGGTTTTCCTGTCGAGAGAAGAAAACTTGTCACTGAGTTCCTGCTGATACTGGAAYGGCTGGCAGATTGGAGTGTGTGTCTGTCTCTGTGTGAGTTTGATGTGGCCTCAAACATACCTTTACAGACCACTGACTATACTAGAGGGGAGAAAATTAAAAATTGGGTCATTTATCGTCATTTTGACCTTCAGTGGTGCAATAATAGCATTAGCATCAATTTTATTAAACTTAAAAAACACCGTTATGTGTAATTATTGAAATTTCTCACATGATCTGTTTATGTTCAGAGATGACTTGGACTCTCAGCGACTACCGCACTACAATATATCTCAGTTTCTGTTTATTTAACTGAGTGAAAGTCAGTTTTATGTTGCCAATCTTCATTAGCGGTGGCGGCCATCTTGAATTATTAATCCGTTTTAGACGATCATCCATTGTCCTTTCTCAGCGTTTCACCAGAATGTACCCATGTGTTCTGTGAGATATTTTGCCAACAGATAAGTGAATACTATGGAGGTAAATTTGTGTTTTTATTATTCAATCA